AATAGGTTTATGTTTTAGGGGTCTGAATTTTCTTAAATCTGTAGACTGTTGTTTTTCTTTACTTACGGAAAATTCTCAGCTGTTGTATTAGTTTGGTAGAGGTATCATAACAAAATATCATAGACTGGGTGGCCGAAACAGTTGAAATTTATTTTCCTCATGATTCTGGAGGTCAAAAATCAAAGATCAAGATGTTGGTGTATTTTATTTCTTCTTATAAGGATACAATCAGATTGAATTAAGGTTCATTCTAATGGTCTCATTTTAACTTAATCATCTCTTTAAAGGTAATTTAAGGCCTATTAGAGGCCTCAACTCTTTTTAATTCTTATTTCTGAATTCAGCTACATTATGAGGTACTGGCAATTAAGACTTCATATGATTTTGGAGTGTGGAGACATATTTTAACACATTATAACCATTTTCTTTTTCATATATTGTGTTCTATATTCTTCTCTCTTTTTGAAATTGAAGTTAAATCTATTTTAGAGCTTCGCTTCTGTCTTCCATTTCTTTTAACCTCTCTCCATATATTTTTGTCTCTCTATAATGCATTCTGGATAACACATTTTTACCTATACTACTGCTCATTCACTCTCCTTACAGTTATGTTTAATCAACTGTTAAATATGCCTGCCGCTCCAGGCAGAGTGGAACATTCCTGTAATCCCAGTGGCTCAGAAGGCTGAAGCAGGAGGACAGGAAGTTCAAAGCCAGCCTCAGCAATATAATGAGGCCCTAAGTAACTCAGTGAGATCCTGTATCTAAATAAACTATTAAAAAAGGGTTGGGCATGTGGCTCAGGGTTCAATCCCTAATACAAAAAAAGAAATTAAAAAATAAAAAATTAAAAAAGTATGCCTATTATATCACTTATTTTGGTTTAAATTGTAATTTCCAATTCTAGAAATTCTAGTTGATTCTTCTTCAAAATTGCTGGACCAAATTTTGTGTTTTCTGTTCCTTATGGATATTTTTCAGCTTGTTTTTTAAAAAATCATTAGAATGTTTTGATATCTATAACTGATCATCCTAATTTAATTTTATGCTATTGTTTTTGTTGATTCTCACTCATGTTCTTTTTTTTCCTTGTGTGATTGGTCATCTTTCAATGTATACTGCTCAATGTCTTCAAAAAATTACATGCAGTGATTTTTTTTTTTTATACTGAGGATTAAACCCAGGGTGTCTTGCCAAATTGCTGAGGCTGACTTTAAATTTGTAATCCTCCTGCTTCAGGTTTCCAAACTGCTGGAATTACAGGCCTGCTCCATGAAGTCCAGCTGTCTTCCTTTAAAATGAAACAAATCAAACATTCCTTTTGTTTCTCACAGGCACCTAAAATGCTATCAACCTAAACAAAGTTCTTGGTTAGGCATTGATGAGGGGGGCCACCATATGTTAATACAAGCTGCATATCAGAGAGAATGCTGATCTTTGTCGGAGCTTCTTAGGAAATGACCTTATTCTTTCAGTTTTCCCTTGCTAAACTCAACTGATTTCTGCAGAGCTCCACAATGATTTCAAGAAATGGGAAAATAAATATAGGTTTACTTCTTATTCCTCTTTACCTTATGAATAGCTCTTTAGAGTTCCAACTTAATATTAGGAATCTGATCCTCATGTTTCTCCCACCCAAATAGGCTACCAAAATGAAGCCCAACTTTGTAGCAATTAGCAAAACTCAATGTCCAAATACTTCTCTTAACTCTCTAGATTCTGTCTTTCCCCAAAATCTTGGCCTATTAGTCATTTAACTACCATATCAACACTTTGATGCTTTTACAGAGATTTGGTAAATTATATCCAATATTTTAAAATCATTTTTGTTTAAGGGAACAGTTTAAATTAATTATCCTACCATTACTAGAAATGAGATTGAAATTGTAGGAGCTATTACATCATTCATTTTCTACTATATGACTGAGAGGCAGACAAAGCATATCTATATTACATAAGAGAGAGAGGCCAAAGCATAAAAAGGAGGACTGGTGATAGCTAGAAGGAAGTCTGGATACCCTCCAAACCCCTAGTTCCAATTCAGGGAACTGGCTGTATCTTATATTCCTAGATTCTGTGACACTTCTTGAAATAAAACTATTCTCAATTTAAAGACTAAGACTAGATTTACTCTCAGTGCTAGTTGACAATCTACATTACTTACTACCTTTATTTTCTAATATTCAGTTCAACATTTATCAAATTACAGTGATATATTGGCAACAGGTTGCCCTGTAGAGATCTTTGTTCTAATCAAATTGATCTTTTTATAGTTTCCCAAATCTAATTCACATCTTTTCAATTATGATCACTTGCTTATTATTTCTTAAACCAGAATGATTTCCTGTCTCTCAATGCCTATCAAAATTACTTATCCTAGAAAGGCCAATTCAGTGTTCTTATTTATAATGCCTTGACTGCTCACCCACATGCACTTCCTCCTTTCTCTAGGTCCATAACACCTTTTTATCTTTGCTATCCTCTCTTTACTCCCTCTCTAAAGATATTAAACAGGACACATGCAATGGAGGTGACCCATGGCACCTAAAAGTAAACAGCCAGACTGACATTATCGATTCAACATCATGATTAATGTGCATATATTCTGTCAATTATGAAGTCTTCAAATTGTCCTGTCCTCCTTGCCATACTTCATCCCATGTGAAAAAGATAAAGCATATTTCAATCTTACTTTTATAATTTTCCAGAACTACTTCTGAACTGTAGTATCTTATCTACTCCCATGTCCATCTTTATGAAAATGCTACAAAAGATACAAAGAAATAACTTAATGAGAAGACAAAGAAGGGAAGGAAACTCTGTTACACACCCAACCCATTTGAATTGAAGGGATTTTTTAATTCCCTCCTTTTACTGATGAGACTTAGTCCATGGTTGGCTGACTACATTGCTCTGGGCCTGAGATGAGGCAAAAATTCATGGTGGAAAGGTATGGGGAAATAAAACTATTTAGCTTATGGCTGCTGTGGAACAGAGAGAGAAAGGAGCCAGGTACAATGTAAAATCCCCAAGGGCATGCCGGTGACCTGTGTTCTGTAGTCACATCCTACCTGCCTACAATTACCATCCAGTACCCATTCAATCTGTGTACTGATTAGGTTACAGTTCTCACAATCTAATCATTTTACCTCTGAACATTTCTGCATTAATACATGAGCTTTTGGGGTGATACCTCATATCCTAACCATAATGACTGATTTCTAACAAAGGTGCAAAAACAATTTAGTAAAACGTGAAAATAAACATTTCCCTAAGAAGCTATATTGCAATAGAACTCTTCAAGCATGTTCCAGAGGACAACGTCTTTCTCCCAAAAGGAAATAAAATGGGCCTGCCTGCATGTATGAAAGGGACTGGGAGGCTGGAGAGAAAAGCTACTCCAAGCCCTTTGGAAAACAGGACATTATTTTCTCTCTTTTGTCTGACCTTACATACTCATGATTATTAGGTAGAAGAACTGATCACTGACTTTACCAGTCTTCTTGCTAAGAACACAGTGAAATGCTGTCTTAGTCCAAAGGTCAGATTTCCCCAGGTTTATCTTAAACTATCTATGTAACCCACCCCCATCAGTGTATTTAGAGAATGTATTGATTTATGACTTTCCTTGTTCTGTGCCTGTAAAAGTTCATGTAACCTCTTTCGGGTCATTTGAGGTAACTTGAATCCAACTTCCTGGGCCATGGTCACTTACTTTGGCTTAGTATAAATAATTTTCTCATTTTCCTTTAAAGCTGAGTCCTTATTTTGTAGCAAAAAAAAAAAAGAATAATATTTTCAACAAATGAATCTTGAACAATTGGATATCCACATGCAAAACAATGAACTTGGATTCATCTCTGACATCATATGTGATCATTGATCCAAAACTATAAAACTTCTAAAAAAGACCAGAAAAAAAAATAT